GGATCTTACAGCTGCACCTCCAGAAATGTAATATATCTCATCCAATGCACCAAATGCCCTGATGGAAGATGTGTAGGAGAGACCAGACAACAACTGCGCACCAGAATGAATGCACACCGGAAATCCATCAAAGACAGAAACACCCAATTACCGGTGGGGGCACGTTTCTCACAGGAGGGCCACTCTCTCTCCAATCTCTCAGTCCTGATCCTCAAGGGAAATTTACACAACACATCCCAGAGACGAGCCTATGAGCTCCATTTCATCAACCTGCTGGATACTAGAGATCATGGACTAAACATAGACACTGGATTTTTGATACATTATAATCTGCCTGGCAACTGACTCCCCAGCCCAGCCCCTGGCTTCTTTACTTTTCATTCCATCCAGGAAGAGCACACACCAGCTGCTGAAACTTCCTTAGCCTGACGAAGGGTTTTTGAACTCGAAAGCTTGCTTAATAACTATTCTCCAACTATTTGGGTTGGTCTAATAAAAGATATCAAATTCACCCAAGGAACCTTGTCTGCCTATAACTGATCTATGCCACTCAATCCCTAAGTAGCCATAAAACCTTGCTCAACCCTTGCAAAGCAGCTGTGTCTAACAATTTTATATCTATTAGTATGTGTATTGTAGGCAAAGCTGAAGTCTGCCAGGAAGAAAAATAAAGGTTTACTGGGAGCAGACTCAAGAGATGCTCCGGTTCACTCATTTATTAAGGACCTGATCCAAAAGCCACTGAAGTGGGCAGGAGTCTTTCTATGATTACAGTGGACCTTGGAGAAAGTCCTCAGTTAGGAGGGTGTATACCAGGGGTGCCAACTGTCATTAAATTTACAGACAGATCATAAAAAGGAAAACTAAAAATGTCTGTCTGCAAAGTCTGTGAAAGAGAGAAAGAAATTTAGCCCTCCATAACAACAATGAAGACTCCGTGTCAGAGAAAAGCCTTGAAGGACGGACAGGGCACAGTAGTGGCACCTGGTGTCTCAACAGGAGGGCAGCACCCTATAGGAAGCTTTCTCTCAGGGCTTTGTAGCCCATAGTCCCTTCCCTATCAGCCACGTACTGCTTGTACTTCTGCTTGTGTCCCTGCCTGTAATCCTGCTGCAGGTAGGCAGACATAAGTCTTGCTCTGAGGGTCCCTGCCACAACAAGGGAGGGTTGGGGGGGCGGGGGGAGAGCAAGGCCAGGAGGAGTAAAGCGAAGCGGGGTTAGGAAGACGGCACAGTGTGGCATGCAGTCGGTGGAATCGGGGTATACAGGGGATCCCTGGGGTAGGACAGCTGTAAAGCTAGGAATCAGGGGTGCACTGACAGATTTTTTGGGACCGATACTGATAGCCGATTTTTAAGGAGGTGTATTGGCTCATACTGATCCCATTTCCAATACGCCGTCCAGCTGGTAAGTCTGTTGTGGTGGAAAGGGAGGAAGGAGGGAAGGAGTCGCAGTGGAAGGGTGCAGATCGAGGCCCCTGCAGTGAGGGAGTGGGGCTGGGCCAGACACTGCTCAGCTGGGGCAGGGTGCAGGACGGAGCTGTGGCTCGTCCTGGTGCCCACCGGGGCGGGGGGGGCAACTCCCACCCTGCAAGAGTGTGGGGGGGCATGTGTCCCTGGATCTGTGCAGGGTGGCCTGCCCCAGTCTCCACTGGGAAGAGCTCGGTGCAACCCCGGGCCCCGCCCGCAGCAACAATCCACCCACCCCTGCACAGATCCAGGGGGCACGACCCCCATACCTTCCCAGGATGTGCACAGCAGCAGGAGCTGCCACTCTCTGACAAGCCATGGCTCCATCCTGCACCCTACCCTGGCTGAGCAGAGCCTGCCCCAGCCCCTGCCCCACTCCCTCCCTCACCACAGGGGCTCGATCTGCCCCCACCTCCACAACAGACTTACCAGCTGGACGCAGCTCTTCAAGCTGCCAGGCTGTGCTCCTCACTGCCTACATGCTGCACTGCGGCTGCAAGCATGCACAGGGCATTTATTGACCAAATTATAGGCCACGTCAGGCAAAAAAACCCGATTTCCGATACAGTCAATTTTCTTCATAATCGGTGCCGATCTGATGTCTGACCAGTGCACCTCTACTAGGAATCCAGTGAAACAGGATTGCCAACCTAGGAACTTTTTTTTTTTTTTTTTTTTAAACTGCTGTTGTTCTTAAACCCTAAAATGTGAACCACCCCTTTTCCAAACCCTAGAAGGGCTATGTTTACATTATGTAAAACATGCATCAGTAGAAACAAATGTCAGTAAAAAAATAATTAGTTGTCAGTACAGTTTCAGTATAAAAAAAAAAAAAAAAAAATTGTCTTGGGTTGACAGCCCTGGTGTGCACAGGCTATGATGCAACAGGGTTTAGGTTGTTCCTTTGCAAGTTTGTTGTTTTTTTTTTTTTAAATAATGCTACTATGATCAAACTGTCCTGTAACTATTGCAGCACAAACATCTGCTGCTTTCACTGTCCTTGGCACCTAAACATAAAGCTGGAAAACCCTAACTTCTCAGTGACTGTAATCTGTACAAAGGTGGTTAGCTGTTTTAGTCTGAAATCAGGTAAAAAGCAGAGTGACACCTTTGAGATTAACTGGTTCAGAGAGACATGAGTTTTTACAGGCAACAACCTACTTTGTCAGACACTATGAAGATTATTTTCAAGGCTCTGTTTTTCTATACAACAAGCACCCTACAAGTTATTCTAATTAATCAGTCAATATGAACTGTCAAGGATGAAGCATACTTTCGAGCCTGCTGTAACAGGTCTTCCTTTCGCTGAACTAACATCCGCTGTCTTTCATCAGCCGACTTGGAGAAGCGACTTCCTCTTGCCTCAAAATCTTCTGTCTCACTGGGCTCTAATTCCATTTCACTGAACTCCACCATTTCTTCCAGCCTTGGATTAAGTTCAAGCGGCACTCTCTCAGTCTAAGATAAAGAAAGGAAAGCAAAAGAGAAACTCAGAACCTGCTAACAGGGGCTTGATGTCAGAACAAGCTACAGCCTAATATTTACACTTACTGAAAAGTTTCACATCTTATAAAATAAACGTAGGGATATTAGACTACTTGCTTAAATATCAAATTTCTTTGCGCTCTTCAAAGTTTCAGCCAAAATATGCAAAGGCAAGTCAAAATATGTTGAAGACAGACTTCCATGAAGTCTTATCTACAATGTCAGGTAATGCTACTTCTTGTAGATAACACCACTAATCATGAGACTGACAATTTCCAAATACAAAGATGCAAACCTCTCATTTAAACCCCATTTAAAAAATGAACTGCAGGTTTCTAGAGATAGCTTTTTAATTATCTCTAAAAATTTAATTAAGGCAAAAATATTGCTATAATAAGAGGACTCTCCCACTCTCTGCAATAGAGTAGCCAGAGGAAATAGCTAAACAGAAAACCCCAGGGAAAAGGCACAGTAGATTATTTAATAAACTGAGTAATACCCCCAGTAGCCACTCCATCCTGACACACTGTAAATACTAGCATTCAGCAGATGTTTGGATCTCATGACTTTAACTTTGTTTTTTTTTTTTAAGTCCTGCAGACCAAATGCATGCAAACTGCCACTGAGACAGAGCTGAGGAACAAGGCCTTGTTTTGTTACTAATCAACTCTAGTGAATTGTCAGAGAGATTCTAAACCAACCATCAACAGCACTGTTTTTACACACCTCTGTGCCCTACTTATCTTTAGAATGGGACTTTCACATCACACTCGTACCTGAGCTGTACCACTGGTGCAGGAGTTCCGCTCATGGCTCTGCACTCAGCGCACTGTATACAAATGCCTATTGAAAAGCTCTATGCAACTTTATAATGCTAGATAAATCAAAAGCTTTCTCTGTTCTGTTTACTGCTGTGAGCTGTATCTACTTAGTGGGCTGAACTTGGAAGAATAGATAGATACAATCCAATTAAGGAAGCTCCATCTTCCACAACGTTTCAAACTGTTGCTTAATACACTTGCCAGAAATTGCCAACTTGCCAGAAATTCTGTTGTGATTGACTGAATTATCTAGGCAAAAAGTTGATGAAGCTAAATGAACAAATATCAGCTGAAGATGGTTAAAATACTGAATTCCTAAACTGAAGCTGAGGAGCTAATTTATTAACAGACAATACCAAGCTCTTTGTAGCCACTTTTCCAATAAGGATGTTTTACATTACAAAGCTTGACATTTGCAAATGATCTCAACCCCAAACATGCCACAAACTGAGAATTCTCTTTTGCTTTCCTGGGGTAGGGAAACAGCACTGCCACCGCGATCGCCACAATTACCACCCTCCCACATAGCACAATCTGTGAGAGATCTAAAAGTGTTTCATCTAGGAGGCTAGTACCATCTCCATTTTTACAGATGGGGAATTGGATTCATGGTCACTAAGCAAGCTAATGGCAGATCTGAGAACAGAACTTTTATCTTTCTTCCAAGTGTGAATCCCATGTTCTATCTACTTGTCTCCACCAGAGAGTGTGGCATGACCAGGGAGCCGGGTTTTCCGTTTCCCACTGAAAAAGCCATAGATTTCTCATTTTTAGCAGAGAAAACGTGAATTTCCCCTTTTAGCCAAGAAACCCACGGATTTCCTACTTTTGCAAAGAGCTCTTCAGGTTAGCAGAGCTCTAGCCTGCAAGATCTGTTTGCAAAAGAGGCGGAAAAGCCCTACCCCTGCCTGGAGGGGCAGGGGCGGGGGAGGGGAAGGGAAAAGCACTCTGGCCGGGATCGGGGGTTGCAGCAGGCAGAGTGCCTGGCTGCATGGGTGACTGGTGCTGCCTTAGTCAGGGTGTACATGCGCCCCCCCTGCGACCAGTCCCACTGACCAGAGGGAGGGTTCCCCCGCAGGCAGTTCTGCAGTCTGGGGCGGGGGGGGGGTCCCCCATGCGATCCCGCAATGGCCGATCACTGTGCTCGCTGCAGCCACTTTCAGGAGTGGCTGGGGGCGGCTCTCGGGGGGGGG